GGCAGAGGCTTTGCAGTATAAAACCTGGCAGCTTTAGCCGTGAGCTGGTTGCTCCAGAGGACATGTTCAGAGTTAGAATTTCAGGCACCTACAGAACAGCAGAGAAGAGATGTCCTGAGGACCATGCTCTGGGATATGAAACTCAATTTTAAGAGGAAGGAGAGGCTAGAATCAGGACATCCTGCACTCTTGTCAAGCTCTAGGTCCATCCCTTTCGGTCAAATCATTCCTCCAAGGCAAGTACAGTACTGATACCCCTAGGAACGGGGTGGACTCACTGTTTTCTCTCTTCAGGGAGGTGCTGTGCCCTTGGCCAGGAAACTGAAGGCCATTAAGACAGAGCTACGGCTGTTCAACAAGCTAGCAGAGCTGCAGATCGGGCTGCAGGGCTACGAGAAGGCACTGGAGTTTGCCACCTTGGCAGCCAGGCTGAGCACCAGGGTGGGTGAGTGATGCAAACTGGTGGGGTACGGGCAGTTCCTGGGGAAGGGGCCACCTTTCCAGATGACAACAGCATGCATGTGAAAGGAGGATATTCCTACTTTCATAAGATGTCTGATTCTATTCTTATCCAAAGGGTTACATCTCTTTTAAAACCACTTCCCTTTTTAAGCTGCGTGATAGCCACATGGAAGCACTCTGCTCTGGTGTGGTGGGACTGGGCTGAGTGCAGGGTTGTTGCTACACCAGAGCACAGGAAATATGATGAAGGCTCAGAACACAACTGTTCCTCTCTTCATTCTTTGTTCTTCTAATAAAGTCCTGATAAATTCATGTCTTCCTACTATGAGAATAGTTAGAACAAGCAATAGAACAGGCAAAATACCAGCATAAGTGTCTGAGATGGAGCCAGTCTTGTAATGGCCTTTCCAGCACCAGAGAAATGCTCTGGGCAAACGATATTCCCTGGGCAATCTGTCCTGCATTGATATCAGCAACCCTACCCATGGTTATGTCTTCTCTGGGCCGTATTTAAGCTTGCTGACTCCTTCTAAAGCTGTCTGCACACCTGGGCTGTTGGACAAATGCCTCCCCACACGGTTCAGAGTGCAGGGCAGGGGATGACTTGGGAACATGCTGCAGGATGACTCTATCAGCAACTCTTTTTCCAGGAGATCAGCTGCAAGAGCTGGTTGCCTTCCATCGCTTGGCTACCGTCTACTATTTCCTGCAGATGTATGAGATGGCCGAAGATTGCTACCTGAAGACCCTTGCCTTGCACTCTCCCTTGCTGCAGGGCAGTGGAGAGGCCCTGTACTACTCCAAGGTGTACTGCCACCTTGGCAACTTGACCCTGCACAAGCTGAAGGTAGGAAACCTCTTTCCATGGTGCTGTGTTGAACATACTGGTCTTGGCAGAGACCTGAAGGTGGAGTATTATATCTGCTGACAGAGTGGCCTCCCATGTAGATGGCTGCCTCCTGTGGCCTTTTGACCTTCATCAGCTTTAAAATAAATATGCACAATGCAGGCACACCAGGTTTGGAAAGGCAGTTTGGAAAGGAGTGCTGGCATTTAGCTATGACAGTAAAGAGCCCATTTCTATTAAGTCAAGAGTCACAGGGTTATGCCTGGAACCACTGGGCTCTGCTCCAGATCCCTCACACTGTGTGACCTTCATTTAAACTGCTTCCTAAAGCTCATCCCTCTCCCTTATGGCTAGGATGAACAGGATGCAGCAGGCTACTTCCTCTTGGCCCTTGCCGCAGCAACCGAGGTGGGAGACCAGGAGCTGCAGGGCAACATTCACGCCAAGCTGGGTCGCATCTACAGTGCTCCTCTCTGCCACGCGGACACGCCGGGATGCGCCATGTATCGGGCCAGGTGGCTGAGCGAAGGAGGACACGTCGTCTGACCGACATCCAAGGTGGATGTGTGCAGCCAGCAAAGGCAGTTTTCTGCCTCGTTGCTGGCACAGATCCGGGTACTTTCCAGCACAAATGGCCTGCAGAAGGTCCTGTGCAGCATCCTGAGAAGGCCGGCAGTGTTTTATCTTCTCCTCTCCAACAGATGTGGGATCAAGAGCTTCGCACACTGTCCTCCTAGTTCCTTGCAAGCCAGAGCTGTGACTCTAGATGTCCATCCACGGCAGCAGCCTGCACTGACAGGACAATGTGGGGTATTACCACAGAGCAGGGCAGGATGAGGACTCCGTGCCAGCCTGGACCAGGGCTCTGGAGCAGAAGTTTGGTGGAGCGGAGCTGAGCACTAGATGGCACTGCAGGAATGTGGCCGCCTGCCTGGGACAGCAGCACAGGGACAAGTGCCACCCTGCGCCAGTGTCTTGTCCTGCCTCTACCCACCGCCTCCTGGGGCCAATAGGGCAGCACAGCCCGCAGGGGAACACCTCCAACCCAAAACATATTTTAAGTTAAATAGCAATTCTTTTATTTATTTCTATTTGTTTTCTGTCCCTTCTGCCTGGAGAAAGCCCGTGACCCACACTTCTGCAGAACCAGTAGCCTTTCCCAAATGCTGCTTTATAAAAAGCACCACCAAAACTCCTGCCAGTGAGAGGCAGAAGCAGGAAAGCAATGAAAAGAGAGCATGGTCCTGAATGCAGTCAATGGACTGCTCAACAGGGAAGGAGAACCTGCCAACACCACAGGCGGGGATAGAACAGGGCGAGCTTGGGGCCCTACCAGCAGCAGGCTGTTAGAACACGTAAGAGAGCATGGAGGATCCACATGGGTCACCCGTGTCACCAGGCATCTTGTCCTAGCAGGGGACATAACTGGATGCACAGGGAAGAGTGAAAACAAGTCAAGAATAAAATACCTGGCTGTCTCTTCATGGAGAGTGTTTTCTGTGTTCAGTAGCCCTCTCTGGGTTTCCACCTTCCAGCTCCCATGGTGTGAGCACTCCATGGTGCCTCTACAGGAAAAGATGACGACTTTTTTCTGAGGTTCCCCCTTTGCTGTCACGTCCCTCCCAAGCCACCTCTGCTCCTGGCTGCACAGTGCAGTGTGGTTTTCTGCAGCCAGGAGGCTGGAGCAGCACTGAGGAGGCTGATGTCTGCTTGCCAAATAATCTGCAGCCATTCTCACCACCAGAGAGCAATAAACACCAACAGTTGCAGCTTCACACATGCTATTCCCACCTCTTTTTGGTAACAACCCTCAGTTTTCAGTCTGTACTCACTCAGAGTTAGGAACAGGCTCATCTGCAACAGGCTTTTTGCTTGGAGAGCCAGAGAGCTTGGCACTCAGAAACCATGCAAGTCCTTTCATCTCAGGTACATGATCCTCTGTTTATAAGTGTTAAGTACAAAACAGGTATTTCCCCAATTCTCTTTTGCAAATGCTGAGTCCTTCTAGCTCTCCTAGTCCTTACCAGACATCCATCATCTCAGCAAAGAACTGCTTGCTGCTTGCTACCAAGGAAGCCTGCAGTGATGCTTGAGGGACCGTAGTCCTCTGCCCAGAGGACATAAATCTTTGTCCTATTTGAAACACAACAAGCTCTCGGGAGAGACTATCCAAGAAAATTCTCTGCCTTGGAGTCAGGGAAAATTCAGGTTTCTCCTTCTCATTTAACACACCTGAGAATGAAGGCAGCCTTGGCCAGTTGAATACCTCATGAAATGAGACTCCGACAGGATGCTGTCACGTGGCTTCCCTTTCAAACACCAGATGCTTCTCCTCCAGCAGCTGCTATTCCAGCTCCGTGGAGCCACAGGGAGTGCAGGAGCTCTGGAGCAGCATCGCCCATGCTGCAGGGAGATCAGGCCTTCAGGTTTTCTCCTGATGCGAGGCCTGAAGCCACCATAAGGCTGAGGCTCAGCCCCCAGAAGAACACGCTTGGACTTTCTGTGTGGGTATCTGAAGTGTTTCTAGTGACTGATACTGCACTGCTGTCCTGGCTCTGCAGCTCGGGCTCTGGCTGTGTGTGGCCATGCCCGTATCTGCAGGCAAAGTCCCCAGACCCACGCTGGTGGCCACTGGCTTTTGTCAAAATTAAGCCCCGTGCATGATGAATCATGCTGAGAACATTCCCACTAAAATATCCCTTCCAGAGCCAAAATCCAAGAGATTTTTGCCTAACATCAGTGAGAAAAAATGGGCTTTGTTTAAACATAGAGGGTCAGTGTCTCAGATGGACTAAATCAGCTAAGCTCCATGAAGTCAAACAGAGATGTTCTGATTTGCAGGGATTGTAGATTCAGCCCATGGCTTTTAACCAGAAGTGTCCTCTTTAAATCACAGCAAACAACTTGTGGTGCCTGGGGAAAGGGAAAAAAAAAATCACTTTTTGCAAACATCCCATATAATAAAATTTCCCTTCTGTCTCATCCACTCCCTCCCTCCCACATGTTCTGACAGTGTTCACAGATTCACAGAATATTTAAGGTTGGAAGGGACCTCTACAGATCATCTAGTCCAGACAAAATTAAAAATGGGGGAAAGGGGAAGAAAGGGGAAGGATGGATCAAGTCTCTTTTCATCATAGGTGTTGCCTTGCAACGTCATTTTGAACCACGTGTGACTGCCAGCTCCATGCCCTATTCCAGGACTTACCCTCCCTTCACTCTGCAGCCAACAGAGCTGGAAACAGCACCAGAGGCGACCTTACATAGCATGATGTGGCCTCCACACTACAGCTATAAGCAGCATCTTCCTTTCCACCACTTCCCAAAGCTGAAGGGTGCTGGAGGAGCCTCCTTGCCTTGGCTTTGGTGCCTGCACGTGCCAGGGTGCCTGATGCTGACCTGACTTGCTCTCATCTTTCCCCAGTGCAATCTTCCAGACATTAGCAGCATCAGGCTTGATGTACACCCACATAAGGGCCAGGGCTGGTACTCTGACCCTGGTTTTGCTTAATGCCTCAGGGGGCCATTTAAGGTCTGGAATAAAGAGGGACAGGATATTTTTCAGAACACATGCTCATTCTTGGACAGTGAAAATATCACAAGAAAAAAATTCCTGAATCATCTTAGCTCTGGTTTTAACTCCCAAAGCCTTAGGAAAAAAGCAAGGGTGCAACACCTTGGCCTCTCCTTAAGGGCAGGAATAAGCTACAACTAGCACAGTTGCAACCATCAGGTCCATGAGCATTCTGTGTCTTCTCAATCTGTATTAACATACAGATTTTGTAGCTGGGATTTCACAGACAATCCATGTGTGCCAGGCCAGACTTTGGCATTGGCCTGCCTCTGCTGCAAGCTCTGAAGCAGCCAACAGGGTCTGAGGCAGAAGTAAACCTGAGCTCGTTTTATTTCCAAGGTGCATGGTCCTCCCCAGCCAGCATTTGCACTGGAAAAGTAATGAGAAGTTGGTAAACACCAGCTGTTCTGCTAAGCAGAGGTGGGTAAAGTATGTAAACTGGGCAATTTACATTAAAAACTGTTTATTTTTACAGCAGTGTGGGGCTTTGTTCAGTGATGATTGGAATAAATATGCATGCCAGGAGGCATCTCGAGGTTGATGCTGAGAGCCTGAGCAAGAGCCAAAAGTCACTGATGGTAACAGCACGTGTTTGGATAAACCTACCCAGGCAACTCTCTCCAAACTGAGACCCACGTGTCAGACCTGGAGTTACTGTCCTCACTTTCACTGGTCACATGGATATCCTTTGGATGTAGCCAAACTGCAGCACTGCTATCCAGAAACACCTTCCACACTCACGAGTGCTTTGTCCTCACCAAGACTGAGCTGAAGACCAAGACTGGATGCTGCGCTGAGCACTGCCAGGGCAAACAGGAGAGGAACGAGTAAATTGTTAAACATGGTGCAGAAAACATTAAGATATAGTGGGCCAAAGTCTTGGAGAGTAGTCCAAAGGGCAGGAGGGTGTTTGCTGCTGCCTGCTCCTCCCTTCATCCCATCCCAGTTCCACCAACAACCGTGCTGGTGAGTGCTGATGTGGACTGGGGGATCCCAGCCTGGCTGCTTTCCTCACAGCAGCCCCAGTTCTTGCATGACATCCCAGGCAGTGTATCCTGTCACTGGCGGGGAAGCAGGCAGGAAATCTGGCAATAAGTCTCCCCTGCACTGCAGTGGTTTAGACAAGCATAGGAAACAGCACAATCGCCAACAATTCCTGTCATACCACTTCATAATGTGGACAGGAAGAAAAAAAAAAAAGACTCAATAGTCAGATCTTCCCACAGGAGCGCAGGAGGATGAGGAGGATGAAGAGGATGAGGGTTATATGCTCCCAATGCTGGCCCTGGATGCCAGAGGGGTGGCAGGCACTGCTTGGCATTGGCAGTGTTGCTATTGGGTGTTTTGGAACAAGTGTCCAAGGCAAAGCATGTTTTGTATATCCCCATTGCCTGGAGGTTCTGTGTTGGACATGGCAACCACCTCTCCGCTATTTGACACATCTGCCTTCAAAAAATGCAGAAAGCCTGTTGGCTACCTAAGGTGCTTGGAGGAACATGTGGGAAGGGAGATTAGAACCACAGGGACTATGGAAGAGGGATAAAACAGCAAAGAGAAACGCACCTTTCCTGATGGTTGGGTGGCTGCCAAGCCCCCAGCACCACCCAACGCAGTGAGTGCGAATGTGCATGTGGAGGGTGTGTGTGAGAGAGCGGGAATAATTAACAGCTCATTAATATTTCCTGCTCTCTGGGCTAAAGGCCATTGCCTCAGGCAGCATCACGGACACGGTTCAGCTCTCACAGGCATCCTGCACAGGCCACCCTGCCAAATCCCAGCTGCCAGTCCTGTGTGATCGAGGGAAACAAGCCCTTTCCCTCCCCTTGCCTTAAGCAGGGCTGAGAGGCTTTGGCAGAAGCAAAAATAAATATGAACCATGATCAGGACAGAGGTGACGCCCAGGACCAGCTGCTATTGTAAACAGCGCCTTTCCTCACCCCCTCCTTGCTTTCCAGTCCTTGACAGCTCAACTGTTCTCCCTGGACATGTCTTCCGTGCCTTGGTTTGAGCCTCCTTTCCAAATAAGCCACAACTGGACAGGATAATGCTGTGCAATAGCTTTGCGAGAGGAATAGGGTCAAGGTAGAGAAATGGAGCCAGATCTACTTTTCACTTCCATGTACTGAGAATGATTTGAAGTATTGCTCTGGCATTCGTTCATGTATCACCACAGCAGTTCCCTTGCTTGGGGGCAAAGCCCGTCCGTGTATATCCATCCTCTGAAGGAACAGCCCATCAGACACAGGCAGACCACCTTCCATCCATCTCCTTCTCTTTGCACTCATAAGCAGCAAAGAGGAGGAAAATCTGGCCTTTGGACAAAAAGACATGTCAGCCTCAAGTCAAAGCCCAGCATTTTCTTTTGGGTTCACCAAGGCGCGAAGATCTGGATCATAGAGCTAGTTGGAGGTTCAAAGTGGGGCTCTGCACTTCCACAAGCTTGGGCTGTCAGGTTTCCCCTGCTCAACCACCAAACTACTCTGGATGTGGCCACTTGTCACCTGAATGAAGGGAAAGGTCCTGCTGAGGATGAAGGTGTCTGCTAAGAGGGAACTTCAGCAGTAAGAAGCTTTGTAGCCTTCCTTTGGCAAGATCGCTTAGATGCCTGATCTCCAGTGATGCTTGGGGGTGGCTCTGACAGGCAGATACAGCACAGTTCACTTTCAGAAGGATGAAGGTAGCCTTCATCCATGCCTCCACAGGTCTGGAGGTTGGTATCTGTCCAGAAGAGAGGGAGCAACTCCAAAACAGGCTTCTAAATGTGTGACAAGGACAGAGGGCACATGACTACCTTAACACATCAGATTTCTTAGATTGTGGACCACCTGATCACACAGTCCACAGCACCCGTAAGATACCGAGACAAGCTAACACTCAGTTCACTAGGATACAGCCAGACTTGTCCATTTATCTAAGAAGCAATAATTAAGCCAGATTTTCTTGGCTAAGGGACACCTCAAGTCAAGACATACTCTTGGTGACTGTTTACTTATTGCTTCTCATATAATTAGAGGGAAATTATAACCTTTACCAGATTCTGACACCAGGATTGTGCAAACACTTGAAATATTCTCCTGGAGCTCAAAAACAAACTGATCTGGGCCTGCTCAAAGATTTGTTCTGCTTCCACCAAGCCAACGGCCCAATACTTAGATTCTTTTGCCTGGAAAGAGGCTGGCAATTACCACACAGCAGGAGACTCTTCTGGCATCTTTTATATACCAAATCTTTTATCATTTTTTTCCTCAAATTTATCATTCTGGGTTCTGCAGACCACTAGCACATATTCTCCTCTTGGCCCCCGATCTCTTGCTTTAGCTAGAGCCGTCTTTTAGCATGACATTCCAGCCTTTAGTCCTGAGTTTAAAAGCCTGCAAGTAATAGTGAACCACTCCATCTCTGAGGATGCTGTTCTGCTATTTAATTGCCTAGGCTGACTCCTAATCTAAATTTGCCTAATTTCAGTTTCCAGGTCCTGGATCTGCCTGTGTCTCCTGTTACTCAGCTAAAGACCTTCTCATCACAAAGCTTTTCCCAAGCTGGTATTTACGGTCTGTAATCAAGTCTTCTCTCTTTTCTCAAAGAAAATAGATTAAGTTTCTTTAATCTGTTACTGCAAGGCCTGCTTGTCAGACCCTTTTTATTTCCTTGTGCACTCAGTGCATCTCTGCAAGATGTTCCAAGTGTCATCTATGTGCTCAGAGAGCTCTTTAAAGAGAGGAGCGAGGACTCCTCTCCAAAACTGGCTGAATTCTGGAGTTCAGCTTGGCCTCACACTTGCAGGTTTTGATACTGTTCCCACACAAGTAATGTGTTTAATGTTCAGTTCCACAGACTAATAAACATGACCCTTTTCTGGCTGCCTGTACTTAAGCAAAATGATGTGTTTACAGAGCAAGACTCAGTCCCTGTCCTGAAATTTTTACAATGTAGTGTCAGACAAGAGACAACAAGCAAAGCTGTTTGCAAGGACAGATGAGAAAAGACTGGAGGAATCACAAGAGGAGCATCTGGATACAAACACCTGCTTTGGCTTTAACTGTCTTAGCAAGCACATGTCCTGCTTTTAGGATAACAGGAATGAGTATGCAAGAGGGAAGCATTAGCCACTGATACATTGAAATATCCAGGGTCACATTGCTCCTGGGCTAAAATAGGATCTAAGGGTCTGAGAATCTATATATTGTACCTTAGAGACATACTAGTAGCCATAAGTGATCCCAGTTGTGCTCAAGGTACTTGTCCTCTCTCATCTCTGCCAGCCCCACCTGGACCTCCCCATCTCCCCTGTGTCTCCACAAGCATCAAAGACCAGTACATCGCTTGCTGGACCATGTTGAGTTCAAGATTTGCAGATAAGACCCAAAGGATGCCAGAGGCTGCTCACACATCCTGGATATTCCCTGTTTTCCTATCATCTTCTAGAGTTTCTTGAGGGAACAAGGAACATGGCATAGCACAGGGCCTGATGGAGTAGAAGCAGGCCCTGGAGGAGGATCTGTTTCTGACTGTTCTGCTCAGATGCATGTGCCAATAAATGATATTTCATTCCAGCTGCCAAAATAGCGGGTAAATAAGAGCCTTAACTGAAAAGAAATTGGACAGTGTTTGTGTTCCCTCCCACAACATAAAAACCTAGAGAATTTCCACTCTGCTTGACCAGAAATATCGCATTCAGCCCTCAGAGGGACAGGGACAAGCAGGAGAGAGCAGGGTCAGGGAGCAACATGAGCAAGACCAGAACATCGGCTTAATTAGTTCACAGTGAAACAGAAATACTTCAGACAGGCAGGCCCTGGGATAACCCTCTTCTCAGTTTGTTCTCTTCCTCTGGATCAATAAGAAAGCTTTGCCCTCAAGAGGCTGTTGTGCATCCTCTGCGTTTTAGGGTGATTAAGAGCTTGCATGGAAAAGCCAGGCTTGCACCCAGAGGGCTGGCCTAGAGGGTGCCTGGTTTCTGCATGACAGCATCAAAAACTCCAGTGCTGACTGAAAAAAAAGGAAATAACAGCCTGGGCTGGCAGGTAGAAAGGCTGAACATGGGCAGCAGAAATGGGTTACTACGGCAAAGAGCACCCACTGCTCCGAGTACATCCACACTCAGGCATTCTGGACCTCTTCCAAGCCAGAAGGCTGGAGAGATCACCTCCTTTCACTGGAGTCAGAACTGCTTTCATGCAGGGATTCACCAGATGAACTTGGATAATTTAGTTTTAGTAGCACAGTAATTGCATGTTTATAAAAGAAACTAAACAAAATAAACACTGAGCTTCAGTAACCGCCTGGGAGACATGGATAGATTTCCTGCTCATCATCCGATCTTTAATTGCTCTTATGCATTGCTGTATTTAATTTCCTAGACAAAAGGCAATGAAAACCAAAGAGACATTAGATACCTATAACTGAGTTTACACATAATTGCCTTATTAGCTCAAAGACTGAAAGATTGCAGGAGTTATTGTAGAATATCCTCAAGGTGCAAGAGTCTATGTTGGCTCTACAGCCGACTTAGAACCATCTCTCAGACTCCTGGAGTACTGAGTAATTTTCTTCCACCTCTCCTATTGCTGCCCTCGTGGATGGGTCTTCAGGGAAGACAAGAATCCTTGCTAAGTGTCCATGTGGTTAAAATGGACCCTGAAGTCTCTTTAGAGGCATTAGTTATACATGCAAAAACATACCCCAACCATTAACATGAAGGACTCACGCTAGGTTTTGTGTCAGGGTAACCAGGATTAAATATTTCTGTACATCATTGGACCTGCACTTGGCCAGGAGGGAGCTTGGTGGCTCCAGGACC